ATAGTTTATCTAAATTGTCCTGTATTTTAGCTCCACAAAACAGTAATAATTATTCGCTTAGTGGGAACTACCAATCAATTTAGAATTTGACAAAGGTGGCTCTTTCTTGTTCAATGATTGTCATAGCATAAAGACTTCGTAACCCTGGGATTTCCACTGTGAGCTTCTTTTATGTGTAATATGAAAAGGTTCTTTAAAATTCCCATAGATATAAATTGGCAGTGAAAATTAAATATTTATTTATGTGTGTAATTATTGTTATTTTTAGTGAAGAAGGAAGTGTCAGAATTTGGAATTTTGAAGACTTTTATCTACAGAAGCCGTTGTTTTTGTGAATATCTGTAGTATATTTTTTATTTAAGGAGTAACATTGCATGACTGTTGACTGACGATTGTGACGCTGAAACGTAGTGTTGAAACGTAAAGATGAGCTATTGAAACATATAGTAATTTATATTATATCTATATATTTAGATGAATGAAATAAGCTAGGTGGTATTTGTAACTTCACAGTGCATATCATAAGAATAACTGTCTGAATTATAAAGGCAGGGACTTCACAAATATAATATATACATATAGACATGAAAGCATCCTCAATAACATCTTCCAGTCAGGCAGTGTATTCTGTGAACACCAATTCTGTTCTCCTGTTTTATTTATCAAAAAAAAATTTTTTTTTTTTAAGTCTTCACAAAGGACATGTATGTTTGAGGGGAAAAATCAGTCAATGCTATAACAATGTAATTAGTCTCCAGTTTTTTATGTAACAGTATTCCAGAGACTTACTGTCTCTACAATACACTAATTGTAGAATAAGCAGTATCATAACCATTGGAAATACAGCATCTTCATGTTTTGGTCTGCAACCTTTTTTTTCTGCTTCTTAGTAATGGAAAACTGCTGGAAAAATTTTGTCCTGAAATGAATTATATTTTCAGTAGAATTCATAATTCTGTCTGATTTAGTGTTGTTTGACATACATACTTTTATTTTGTATCTGTATCTTGAGCTGCACTGCAGACAAACTGATCTGTTCTAGGCAGGGCGTGGTATAGAGGAGATGTAGGAATGGGCTGAAGTTTCCTTTATATTTGCCTTTGTATCTAGGGGAGTTGGAAATAGGCAAGAATGGAGAGAAATTTTGTATGGCAGTGCACAGAATTTTGCAAGTTTAAGGTGAGCTCTGCAGCAATCCGATGCATTTTAGTTACTGGTAAGTTTGTTAAATTCTGTTTGAAAAATTGTTCATCTTAGAAGACAGTCTTCTAATCAATATTATTTCCCCTGTGTCAACAGCAACCTTTTTAAAAGCATAATTTGGGCAACCTGGTTTTGCTGATAAAAATTTTTATATTTAAAATCTTCAGGTTTAATTTATTTTCAGCTGCCAAGATGACTACATAAATTGACTATCCTTGGAAATATGTTAAATGTTCTGGATACAATCCTCTAAATTAGGCAGTCAATCCTCTAGAAGACTAAATTCTTAGAATGCAATATTGAGGAGAAAAGATCCATTATATCAGTATGGATTTTTTTATACATATACACACATACACACAATTAAATGTTTGCTTGAGGTCAGTCTGAACATGTGGGGAAAGAGAAGTTTTGAAGAGGTTGGGAAAGCTTATCTGAGAATTGTTAACTGTTGGGTCTTTTCAGGCAGATTGAAGGCTCTCTAGCATAAAGTATGTAAAATAGAGAACATAACCTGTAAAAACAGTGTTTTGTGCAGCAGCTGTTATTTAGTGCAGTGTCATTCCCTCCTTCCTCCTCCAAAAAAGAAGTTTCACCTGAAACAAGTGTAAGCAAGATTTCTGGAAAAAAATCAGACTAAGCATGTAATCTGTTTTCTGCCTGTCTCTGATCATCATCTTCAGGTAGTAATAGCTTCAGTACTGTACGTACAGTGAGAAATTAAAAACACTTCCATTTTGATTTTACAGTTCTTCTATCAGTTAAAATATTACAGATCTTTTAATTACTTCATTTCCTGCATAATGATGTGGACAAACTGCTAGTTACATTTAATTATGGTGCTAATTTTCATCACTACTGTGGTCCTATACAGTATTCACCTCAAACTCCATGGTGCCTCTATGTGACTGCCAAGTGGTTCTCCTTAGCTGCTGCTTTTTCTGGTACTTGGAATTTTTTATGTGCTTGAAGGTGTAAAGTGTAATGATGCATTCACGTGTGCTATCCCAAGATTTGAATTACTATATAGTACAGTCAACTCTGTTATTTATGGTGGCAATCTTGGATAATGCAGAAGGATTAAGAGCTAGAGTTACTGCTTGCAGACCTGAGCTGACTCTGCAGAGCTGGCTTGTGGTGTCTTTATGTGTCTGGTTCGATAGATGTTAAAAGCCATTTTGGACTTAGGAAAAGGCGTAGCTCATTCACAAAAGTACTGGCTGAATTAATATGTTTTCCTGGAACTAGAAACATTGGTATCACTTTGCAGTGACAGCTAAGGTAGCTCTTTGCAGAGCTGATGCGGGCAGGCAGGATTAATCAGTTCAGCCATACCCCGCATAAAGATGGTTAATATCTAAAAAGTGATAGTTGGGCTCTATCTGAATCTAAATTAATAAACTTTGTTGATTCAGTCTTTCTTGCATAGAACCAGCTTGTATGTTTCTGTGTCTGTGGCATGTTTAAATATTAACTGGCCACTGATTATTTCTGAGTTGGCTGGTGTGTTTTATGTGTACTTAAAAAGAAGAAAAGAGAGAAAAATCTTTATTGTTAGGGTGTCAGTGTGTTTTATAACTTGTATTCAGAGTCCTATCAGAATTTCTAACAAATTTCTAACAAATGCAAAGAGATTGTATTAATATTAGATAAGAATAACTCCAGCCCATGAATTTACATCTAAGTTCATAGAATGGACAAATAAACTGCAATACAAAGAAAAGGGCTTTGATTAATCACTTATAAAAATGGAAGTAGGACCTTTTAAACTTAAGTCTGGTGCCATGTTCATGGTACAATAATCTTTTAATTCCATTTTAAGAATATTTTTTTACTTTTCAATATAGTATTAATAGTATTTATTATTGTAATTTAGGTCCTAATCCTGCAAAGATGTGTGCTGTTTCTTAACTTTATGCACAATGGGTTGTCCTCCTCAGTCATAAGGTTACTCATAAAGGATGATAGCAAGCACCATCTATATGGAATTTTCTTTGACCTATTCAAATTTTAAAAAAAGAAGTTTCTAAGTATATATCCTCAACCTTTACATAAGCTTCTTATGGATTGTCATGTAGTAAAAATGATGAGTATCTTATTTTAGATGACAAATACAATAGAAACTTTCAGTTGGGGTAAGAAAAAATTGATGCATGTAAGCTGGTTTGAAATTGATGTGACAGCTTGACAGGCTGTTTTGATAAAAGCTTTGGAATACTGTAAATGGATATTATCTGTGTTCTTTTACTGCTGACACTCTGTGGAGCATTCTGTATGTGATTTTAGACTGATTATTGTGACCATTCAACAATGAAGCAAGACAAGGCACTATTTCATGTTCACAGCATGTACTTTGCCTACACTGTGTACTTTTCGCATGGCAGCCTTGCTCACCAAATAGAATAAATCTTGTTTTCCTCAGCACATTGATTATTTTTTGGTGCTGGCATGGATTAACCAATCTCAACATTTATTTCAAAGTAAAAGGTTGTATTTGGAGAGCAAGTGAACCTTTAGCTGACCACATACTGTAAGTAAAATTGAAATTTATAAAATGCAGGTTGAACATTTCCTTTAATTCACTTTTTCATAGCTGCAAAAGCCACAGTTTTCACCTTTGCCTGTGCCCAAAACCTGTGTGAAAACCTTCATGGTTGCAGATATTTGTCAGTACAGCTAGGAATTGTTATACCTATTTTATTTTTAGAAAAGGAATAATGACTTTATGTATGCATTGTATATGCAGTACAATGCATTCTGTCATCTACCTTTTTGATATATTTGAAAAAAAAATTTAAATATTTCCTTTCTGTCATAATTTTTTCTTTCTCTGTTTCTTCTGGGTTTTTCAGCAACAGATGAGTGTATTTTTGTTCCCCTCTCACCACTCGAGTTAATTGTGATTTTTCTTCCACGGTGCATTGATCTGTTGTATGTTCCTGCTGTTGGTTTTCACAACATAGTTTCATTTATTGCCGAGTCTGTCCCCTGAAGTCTTTCATATCTCTTCTGTTTCTAAACAGTAACCTTTTCTGGGCAATATTTTCCCCTCCCTGTGCTTTCTGAACACCTCACTTACAGATACTGCTGGGATGGGCTGCTGGGTGATTTGCTTGTGGCCTCTGGAGTCTCTCTGTGCTTTCCTAACTGGACAAAAGTGATTCTCAGCCTTTATTTTGTCAGGCCTAGATATTATTCTCATGTTTGGTCTGGAGAAAGTATGAAGGAAGCTCTTCACCCTGATGTTCTACTGTGGTTTGTGGCGGGCATTGTTGCCCACATGCATGTTCAGCCATTTTATGCCTCATTTCTGTGGTAGTAGTGACTCTAGGGACTGAAAGTGTGGAATGATGATATACCTAGTGGCTGCAGATTTTGCTGTTTAGCATAGTTAGTCTGGATGGTAAAATGGTTGACACGGCCCCTGCCTGCATCATTCTAGTGCTGTCAGCTGGATCCCACTCATCATCTCCTGCCTCTTCCAACTGCAAAACCTTTGGCTAGAACTGCAAGTTGCAGGACTGGATATTTAAAACTTGGGATGGTTCTGGTCAAGTCAGGAGAGCTGACAAAATGATTTTGCACTTCTATTTAAATATGAACTCACTCCTATTGTTGTAATGTGTGAACAAACATTGGAGAAATTTGTCAGAAAAAGTAAGATTTGTATTCTTTCAAGGAATTGTTCACCACTTTAAGCCTGTTTCTGTTCACTTAATAGCTGGTGAATACTGAGAATGTAACAGATTGATTTTTCTACATTTGTAATTAAAAAAAATCTTGTTCTTTACATGCAGTGCTACTCTATTGGCTTTCTTGGTTGAGCTTCTTAAGAGTTCAGTAGCCATGCAAGAACAAATGCTTGGTGGAAAAGGCTTTCTAGTCATTGGCTACCTCCTTGAAAAGGTATGTTTGGAGGGTTTTTTTATCTTTGTTCTTAGTATTTCTACTGTCTTTGTGGTATTTTCAGTCACTTAGCTCAAAGGACTGGTGGAATAAAATATATTTGTGGTATGAGATATTTTTGATTTGTAATACTTACAAGTTGTCTACAGGAATCTTTTCAGCTTCCTTATCCTCTTATATGTCAGTATTCAAAGAATCAGTTTTCTGGAGTTGATCCTGTTTGTCTAATTTATGCTTTTACTTTAGATCTGTTTGTGAATCACTTTAATGTATTTTCATTTGTGTTTCTCCACTCTCTGTCCCCCAAACTCTCGTTTAGGAAAGTTCTTTTGTTCCCAGTTTGTACAAGCATTTCACAGACATGTCGTAATTTAGGTTTAAATTTCTTTTTTGTGTATGTTAATAAAAATTAAGTTAATCCTCTGTGGCTCGGTTCTGAAATTGTTGAAATAGTTGCTCTGTGTTTTGAAGAAGAAAAACTGTAAAATAATTTCATTTCTGAAAGAAACTGTTGCAAGGGGCATTCCCTTTACTTGCTTGTTTTCAGACATGATGAGCAGTTACCACAAAACTGAGGTTCAGTTCAGATGCTTGTCTGAGGGACATTATCTGCCTCCTGGCCCAAAGCCCTCACGTGACTGTGATTTAATAATCTGAAAACAAACTACTGTACTAAAATAGTAATACTCCTATGGTTGAATCTCATGGCTCTGACATTCTTGAATGTCTGCTACTGTATTTTTCATTAGCATGAGGTCAGTATAACAATCATTTGAGAAGAAGTTATGACCAGAACTTTGTGTTGTCCGATGGTGAAATTATATAACGATAATCTCACCTGTACTGAATTTTGAAGATGAATTATAAATAATTTCTCTCATTTTGCTCCCTGTGTTATTTTCAGCTAGGGAAATACATTCTTATAGTACAAGGACTTTACCTTCACTGAAGTAATACCTAAAAGCAGATTATTTTCTATGCTTCTATATTTTCTGTACTAAGCAAGTGTGATTTAGAATGTCAAAGAACTAGTCTAAGGTGGTTTTTTTCCCAATGGTAGGTTTTCTTGTGACATAACCAGAATGAATTTACAAAGCTGTTAGCTCCAGTTCTGTAAGCTATATACAGGCAGGCTAGTGAGCCCTCATGGAGTCCCTCGCTCTTGAATAGAGCAGTATGGTTTATGCATATTGAATACATTAATTTAGAATGTTGTACATGAATTTAAAAAAGAAAGTTTGCGTACTATTCTAATTAACATCTGCTACAATCAGTAAACTCAGGGTATGTGAATTTTTAAAGGATTTTGATTGATTCTATCACAACATAATTTTTACAGCATATGCCACTTTCTGGGGTTTTTTATGCTATATTCTCCTTAGCTGCAGTTTTTTAAAAGGATATACTTTATTTTTTTCAGTATATGTTTATATTCAATTGGCACACATGGCAGGAAAAAATCCTTTTGTTTCCTAGCCAGGCTCAATTTTATTATTTGTAAATTATCTGTTGTTCATTTGCATGTGATCAAATACTTCAAAGAGGAAGAAAGCTTTTTCTTTTCTGACTTGAACTTCAGAATAACATTTTTGTTCTTATTAGTTGCAGACTGTTTGTTGTGAATTGTGATGTACAAGCCAAAGGAAACTCAGCATCCAGGCTGAACTTGTATTACTGACAAATGGACTTCACTTCTAAAAATAACAAATCTGCGTGTTCCCAGATTGTACTTACAGTATTAAAAGTAATTGGAGCATTTTTTTAGGGAAGGCAAAGGGAAGGATGTTTAGTGGTTTTTCCTATTGGTTCCTTTTGTTAACTTAGTGTATAAAGAAGTTTGTCAAAGTCTGCATGCCACGTTACTACATAGGAGCAGCTCTCAACAGTGATTTTATAGCATATGCTATGAAACTGAAGGACTCTCTTGAAATTTGAGGAAACCTTGAACCCAAATCCTTCAAATACCTACTTATGTTTAAGGAACAAAAGCAAGTCTTCCAGTAATGTGTGTTTACATAGTGAGAAACCTAATTTCAGTAAGACACATAATTAACTGAAGAAGAGTTAAGGACTTCAGACGAAGTTCTCAAGGCACTGTGCTGTAAAATGTAGAATCCTGACTAGATTATAATAAAACAAAAAAGAAAAAAGAAAAAAAAAAAAGAAAAAGGATTTAACCTCAGTTATTGATGAATATTTTAACCTGTTAAATGTAGCCATTAGAAAGATTGTGAATATTATTAGAAAGTATAACTTGCTGATATTTTTTCTTACTTTGCTTTCATATTCAATGACATAAAAACATATGAGGTTGCATGTATTTAGTAAAGATGAGTCTGGTGAAAATATCACTTCATATTTCTGCTGTAAGTATATTAAGGAAGAAGGTTTTTCTTTCTTTGTTCTTTCTGATTTTTCCCCAGTCATCTAGAGTTCATATAACCATAGCAGTTCTAGAACAATTTTTGTCATTTGCGAAATATTTGGATGGATTGTCACATGGAGCACCTTTACTGAAGCAATTATGTGATCACATCCTTTTTAATCCTGCTATCTGGATACATACCCCTGCAAAGGTAATTGTACACTTGAATGATGTTATAACTCCTACAGAAACTCAGTCCCTTTTTCGGTGGCTGCGTTACATTGTTTTCCTAAAGATTAAGCATAAAAGTATGTATTTTTAATTGTAAGCAAAAAGTAAGATATCTTTTTTTACACATTAGGATAAACTTTCATTTCAAATTAAATCATGTATTTTGGTTTCATAAAAACTGTAGAAAGTTATTGTTCATCTCTGGTGATAATGAATTAGTTGTTTTCCTAAATAATCACAGCTGAGGAATGTGGACCAAAGTGAAAAATGGCATGGTCCTAAAATCTGGTAATATATACTTTTAGTATAAAAAGCCAAATTAGAAAACAAACCAGTACATTTGTTGTGACATAAATCATAGAATCATAGAAAATTTAGATTGGAAGGGACCTCTGGAGGTCGTTCCAGGTGTCAGTCCAGTCCCCGCCCTAAGTTGTTTGTAATTATTTTTTATATCCTATCCAAAGTAAATCCTAAAAAATCTACAAATTAAAGTTATTAATGTATAACTTACATTTATGTGGATAATTATTTCATTCTGCAGGTGCAGTTGTCTTTGTATACCTACTTGTCAGCTGAATTCATTGGAACTGCTACCATCTACAACACTATACGCAGAGTAGGAACAGTACTGCAGTTAATGCACACGCTGAAATACTACTACTGGGTGGTTAATCCTGCTGATAGCAGTGGCATTACCCCTAAAGGATTAGGTAAGTACAATGCATAAGAAAGAAAATATAAGTATTTCTTGTATAGGAAGATTTATGATGTAAATGTGTGAAAGCTCCTTGGACATGTAGACAAGGAGGTAACGGCAATAATCGGTACCAGTGGTCTACAGTAGAAGGACTATGCAAGTACTTTTGGTGTATCATACACCTCTGATGATAATTCCTTATGTTTATATGTATTCCCAGAAGATTCCAGCTCTGGTCTTCACTTACATAGCATATACTTATGTGGGCATACTTTAGGAAACATATTAAAATCACTGATTTTTCTTCTTCTGTAACAGAGAGGAAACGTTAAGTGTATTTCATATGCCAAAGAAAGCTTTGTGGGGTTTGAATGATTAGTAGTGTTAAGTGACCTTGAAAACAGAGTGGAAACTTCTGGTTCTCGCTGCTGAGATCTCTGAAGCTGTATTTCCAGTTTAATAATATTTTTTTCTCTCTCCTTATAAAATAGAGATTGATTTAACTTCGCTTAGAGACACGTGCTTAGCTTAGCTCAGGAAGCATTGAATGACAGCAAAACCAAAATACAATAATACACACAGGCTAAACACTGCATGAAACAGATGTGTATTAACCAGAGCATCAAATCATTCTAATCCTTTACACTCCAGCTGTAATGTCATTACATTTAGGTGACTACTTGTGTAAAGCAGGGAGGATTTGGCTGAAAGTCTCTTAAAAATTAATTGATATAGGAGAACTTATTAATTATCTTTATTCTGTAACTATTACTGTCATGCTGAGAAATTGAATAATTGGGGGATGTTTTAGTGCTGTCACATATCCAAATATTTAAGAATGTGACATATATAACATATAAGTTATTGGATAATTCTTCATTTGTGAGCGAGCAGTATTCATAGGGTTTTTCTTAAATTTTTTTTTTTTAATAAATAAAAATGAAAGGAACAATTCTTATCCTAGATTATATATCTTAATAGGCAGTGAAGTTGTAACTTGTTGAGGCTCACAGAAAGACCTGCTGTTGGAGCTGGGACCTCATTTATAGTTCTCTCATAGTGTAATATTAGACAAATGATATTCTTCATAAAATTACTAAAATTTGCTTTAAAAGCACACCATTTTTGTTCTCTGTTCATTTGAATGAAAAGTTTGTAATATCAGATTATGAAAATTAACTGTGGTGGTTACATAATTAGTGTGAAATTTTTATCCATGATAAAATATATTTTCCACTTACACTGATTCTGGATTTTCTCTGCCAAAATGGAGATAAGGTCATTTTTGGTACCTACAATGAAAGTGTTTCCATCTGAACTAGATGTCTGCTGATTATAGACAGTGGAATGCAGAAGTCAGTTGCCTGAATATGGGTTTCTACCATCATTTTAGTCTCTGTGGGGCATCCCACCTGCCTTTCAGAAGGATGCAGGTGTCCTGTGCATCCTGCGGCAAATCTGCTTGTTCTGTGTAGATATTTTGGATACCTCATCGCATGTCAAATCACGCTGATAAGTATGTTTGGGAGGTGTCATGGTTTAACCCCAGCTGGCAACTAAGCACCACACAGCCGCTCGCTCACTCCCCCCTGG